TACAGCGTTTTATCAACCTTTTCAGCTCCATCTTCTCTGCATAATTTTTCCTTTTGATTCATTGGAGTGGTAGTTGGCTTGCATTCTTCCATGTTGAATTTTTTGAGAATTTCCTTTGCATATTTCTGCTGGTGCACAAAAATTTCATGTTGTTTTTGCTGCACTTGCATACCAAGGAAGAATGACATCTTCCCAAGGTCTGTCATCTCAAACATGTCTTTCATACTTTCTTTAAACCAGCCAATTAACTCCTCATTACTTCCTGTAACAAGCAGATCGTCAACATATGAAGAAACCACAAGTAATTCATCATCAGCTTTCCTTACATATAGAGTAAATTCACTTAAACACTTTTCAAAGCCTAAGTTCACCAAGTATGCATCAATTCTGCTATACCAGGCCCTTGGTGCCTGTTTTAAACCATAGAGGGCCTTTTTCAGCAAATAAACCTTCTCGTCCTGTCCTTGAACAGCAAATCCTTCAGGTTATTCAACAAAAATCTTTTCCTCCAAGTATCCATTCAGAAAAGCTGACTTGACATCCATTTGGTGTATAATCTAGCCCCTTTGAGCAGCAAGGGCCAACAACATTCTTATGGTATCCAATCTAGCAACAGGGGCAAATGTTTCTGAGTAATCCACTCCAAACATTTGTGCATATCCTTTGACAACGAGTCTGGCCTTATGCTTGTTTACAGAACCATCTGGATTGAACTTGGTTCTGTAAACCCACTTTACTCTAATAACTTTCTTATGCTTAGGTCTGTCCACCAGCTGCCATGTCTGATTCTTTTCAATCATCTTAAGCTTCTTATTCATTGCAGCCACCCATTTCTGATCTGCTACAGCTTTTTCATATCCAGGCTCCATCACAGCAAAATTGCACCTCTGATAAATATCTAAGAGAGATCTGGTTCCTCTAACTGGTGGATCATCAATATCATCATTCTCCTCTTGAACTTCAAGCTTTTTCTCATTGTTCCAACTCCAGCTGTCTGACTCAAAAAATTTGACATCTCTGCTGATGATCAGTTTGTTGCTTTGTGGCAAGTAGATCCTGTAGGCCTTTGAAACTGAGCTATAGCCTACAAAGATCCTAGGTTCTGCTTTCTTGTCCAACTTGTCTTTTTTAACCTGTGGAATGTAAGAGAAATACAAGCAACCAAATATTTTCAGGTTAAACATCTTTGGTTTGTATCCATGCCATGCTTCAAATGGAGTCTTTTTCTGGATAGCTTTTGTTGGTAATTTGTTCAGCAAAAAAACTGTTGTATTTGCAGCCTCAGCCCAAAACATATTTGGCAACCCTTTGTCATGCAGCGAACACCTTGTCATTTCCTTGATAGTTCTATATTTTCTCTCTACAACCCCATTCTTTTGAGGAGTGTAAGATGTTGTCAGCTGGTGTTCAATGCCTGCTTCTTCACATAATTTATTAAATCTTTTTGAAGTATACTCAGTTCTATTATCAGACCTGATCACCTGCAACTTGCAACCGCTTTGAATTTTCACCCAAGCTTTGAACTTCTAGAAAATGTCAGCAAACTCAGATTTAAACTTCATAAAATAAATCCAGCACATTCTTGTGTGATCATCAATGAAAGCAATATGGAACTTACTATCATTCAAAGTTGATGTTTTTTGAGGTCCTCCCACATCTGTGTGTACTAATTGCAGTTTTTGTGTAGCTCTCTAGGCTTTATTTTTTGGAAAAGAAAGCCTTGTTTGCTTCCCATATTGGCAGGTAACACATGCTGGAAGTTCCTCTTCTAATTTAGGCACACCTTCCACAAGATTATTTTTCGTCATATACATTAGAGCACCATGATGGAAATGCCCCAGTCTCTTATGCCACAAAACAACATTGGAATCTTCTTTGAGTACAGCAGCTTGCTCCTCTCCCATAAAGTCCAAAGCAAAGCTTTTATTTTTCATTTTGACCTTGAACACTTCTCTGTCTGCTGCATCTTTAATCATGCAACACTTGTCTTCAAACAACACCTTAAAGCCTTTATCAAGCAACTGACCAACACTCAACAAATTTTGATTAATTTCAGGAACATATAAGAGATCTAAAATTAATTTCAAACCTGAGTGCCCTTCGATTGTTACTATCCATTTTCCTTTGACTTGAATGTAATCCCTATTTCCAATTCTAACTTTGGAGACAACACTCTTGTCAATTTCTCTGAAAAGCTCTTGATCATAGGTCATGTGATTTGTGCAACCACCATCTATAAGCCAACTTTCAGTTGAGCTACAGGTGGCTAGGCATGAAGCTGTGAACAATTGATCCTCCTGAGGTTGATTCTCAGCTTGCTTGGCTTCTCCCAAGTGTTGTTGAGACTTGCATACCCTTTCCATATGCCCCAACTGACCACACTTGTGACATCTTGCATCTGGCTTCCACCAACATTTGTTTTGTGGATGATTGGTTTTCTTGCAGTAGGGACATGGTGGAAAAGTTTGAGAGTTGTTGTTCATCTTGTTGTTCCTTGAACATTTGGGGTTGTTATAGTCCTGCTTCTTTTTCTTGTTCTTGCCACCATTATTGCTTTGTGATTTGACTTGAAAAGTGCCCTCCACAGATCCTTCTTGTCTCATAAGCCTTTGTGTTCTCTCTATTCTCTGCATATCTTTTCATATAGCTTGTTCTTGTTTCCAACAAATTGGTATCAGAGCATTTTTCTTGAGGGACCTGTGAGATTTAGTGAGCCCAAACACAACCCAAAACAGCTATCACCTATCCTACACAACACACAAAACCTTACAAACCATTCAGAATGAATTCAGAAAGTTCATTCACTGCGATTGCACCTCCAATGTTTGATGGAACAAATTATCAGGTGTGGGCTGTTAGAATGGAAGCCTATCTTGATGCTAATGATCTATGGGAAGCTGTTGAACAAGTATATGAAGTTCCACCCTTGCCAGATAATCCAACTCTTGCACAAATCAAAAATCAAAAGGAGAGGAAGCAAGGAAAATCAAAAGCAAGAGCAACCTTGTTTGCAGCGGTCTCATCCACCATTTTTACCAGAATGATGACATTGAAAACAGCCAAGGAATTTTGAGATTTTTTGAAGCAAGAATACGAAGGAAATGAAAGGGTTAAAGGGATGCAAGTGCTGAATTTGATCTGAGAATTTGAGATGACAAGGATGAAAGAATCAGAAATGATCAAGGAATATTTTGACAGACTTCTTGGTACTGATTTTCCTGATTCTAGAATTGTTCAAAAGATCCTAGTCACAATTCCTGAAAAGTTTGAGACTACAATTTCATCTTTGAAAATTTCAAAAGATGTGTCAAGCATTACCTTGGCAGAATTGTTGAACGCGCTGCAGGCACAAGAACAAAGGAGGCTTATGAGGCAAGAAGGATCTGTGGAGAACACTTTTCAAGTCAAATCACAAAGCAATAATGGTGGCAAGAACAAGAAAAAGAAGCAGGACTATAACAAGCCCAAAACTTTTCATATAGCTTGTTCTTGTTTCCAACACACCATGTATGAGTGAGGATCCTACATAAAACTATGATAAGTGGTAGAGGTGGCATATGGACGGGTTAGGTTAGTTATAGGCAGGTTCAAGATGGGTTGAGTGCAAAACGAATCAAATTTGTTTTCAACTCACTTAATAAACAGATTATAATGGGTTGAATCATAACGGATTATGTTATACCCACTAACCCGTAAAATAATTAAACTCTTAATATGAATATATACTAATACACTAAAAATGCACACACTAAAACACTAAAACACACATTCATACACTAATACACCAAAAATACACACACATATACTAACACACAAAATACAAACACATTTAATAAAATACCAAAATACACACATATACTATTCACCAAAATACACCCACACAGAGGGTTGGGGTCGTGTTACAAGTCATGGGTTGAGTTGGGTGTATTAGTGCGCGAGTGCTTTTGGTGTACTAGTTAGTGTGTATGTGCGCGTTTTGGTGTATTAGTGTATGTATATGTATATGTATTTTTTGATGTATTAATATATGTGTGCATTTTTTGGTACATTAGTGTATTTATTTCATTTTATTACTTGTGTTATTTAATAAAAGATAAATACTCAACCCAATAGACATCCATTTATAATTTATTTTAACCCATTTAATTAAAATAAATTTTATTACCCAACCCATTTATGGGCGAGTTGGGGAGGTTAATAGGTTAAGATTGCCACCTTTAATAATTGGCAAGTGTTATCATTAGATGAAATTGAGTTTAAGTAAAATAGAGAGGATCTCCCTCCTTTCCTCCTCCTCGTGGCACGGGAATCATTAATATTAAACTTATGTTAGCAATTGCTTGATTTGCTCTCTTAAATCGACTATTTAGGAGTCCGTCAGAATTTACAGAAAAAAAGGAAAAAAAAAATGAGTAAACAAACAGAGAAGCATATCACCCCTTGACTGTGATTTTCATTGCTTGGTTTGTCCAAAGTTAAGCTCTCCACTCTTAGCACATTTACTACGTCGGTGTTACAGTGAACACTAGCCTTCAGGAGATTCACAGTGCTTTTATAAATCTCTTTTTTTTTTTTCAGTGTTTGATATAGAGAAACGTATTCAACCCGAATGCCAATAATATCGTTTCACTGTCAGATTGACACTAAAAAAAGCCTTGGAAGTATGAGACTCGTGCTTCACTAGAGGTGAGGTGTGTATAGAACACCTAAAAAGTCATAATATTCACGACGTTCAAGAACTAAATTCGATCCCCACAAGCCACAAGGTCATAGAAAACACCCGTAGCACAAGTTTTCAAACTCTCTGACGAATGAGGCATAGCTAAAAAGACATTCTGTTTAGAAGGTTGACCACTCCATAACCCGCGATCAATTCAAAAGCGAAACAAGCTACCTTCCTACGACAACCGTTACGTTTTTATACTTGTGAGTTCAAGTAATCTCATCAAAGGGACTCTAAAACAGAGGCATTATTCAGCTTTGCTGCAAATAGACCTGGCTGCTCTTCCAAACTGTAATCAACAAAATCTGAGGAATATAACATCCGCGGTACTATTACACATAAACAAATGCAAACTGTACACTAGCTTTCAGCACAAGCTTATGATTATAAGTTACACTCATACGTATTGTCTTAACTTGATAAACTATGTACCGAAAAAAAATTTGGGGAATCTTAAGGCCACCCCCAAAATCTATGTCAAAATGGCGAATTACACTTGCCTATTGCTACTGAAACTATAAGCGGCAAAAATGCTGCATTCGTATAAGGTTGGAAAGCAACTGCTCCTGTTTTTCTGTTCGGAGCTTTCCAAAAATAATGCACATATAAGAAACTGAATTATATAAGCATACTATATTTGAAGGGACCTAATGACATAGATGAGGCAAATGGTCAGCATTATGGGCTATAGGAAAAGAATACGATCTCCCCACCAAGCCGGATCAAGAAGGGGGGACTCCAAAGATCTTGCTGAGACTGCAGGATAGAGAGTAATGAAATGAATATAATGCATCGACATACTTCATCCAATGCACATTCTTCCACTGGCATTACATATCAACCGTTGGATATAGACCGAAAGTAGAATTAAGTCCACCTCCATTGGAATCTGCGTTAGCATAAAATGGTGACTGTAGCTCTCCAGAATGGGTTGACTTGCGGGCCTTTGCGTTGTTAGGAGAAGCTGTGTAGGATTCAGTTGAACCAGTGCTTGTAGGATACAAAGATGATGTAGGAAGCCCATGAATCTTCGGCAACCCAGTTGGATCAGTACTCAAGCTGTAACCCCTCTCGACCGTCTCAGCTTCAAGAGGGAATTCGTCCAATGTCTATGGAAAAAAAAAGACTAGTCAATAAAATATCTAACAATTTTTTAATTCACACAAAACTTGCTTTTGTGCCTCAGATTTTTTTGGGACAAAAATACACCAGCTTCTGTTGGCAATAATAACTATTAAGCAAACACACATCACCGACACATTATTCGGTCCACAGACAATGTGCTTGGTAATTTGCTTATCCAATTTACTCCCAAAATTCATTAAAGAAGAAGCAGACTATATGCTAAGAAGCCCAAAAAGACCTGGCTAAGGGACATTCCCTTATCTAAATACCATTTGAAGAAAGTAAAGTACCAAGAACCCACCCGAAAAGCCTGCTGAAGAACCCGGAGTGTCTCTCTGGTACGCTTTCTCTTCATTGCCACTTCATCAGGTTCCTGCAACATCTCTTCCAACAGGTTGTCTCTGTGCAGATCACAGGATATACACAAGCATCATTGCTTATGTCCATGATGAATATCCAAAGAATAATATAGTTGAGCTAAATAGCCCACTTGTGAAAACATGAGAACAAAGCCGACAGTTTGCTTTAAAATGTGAAAACGTCAAGCCGAATGAATTTATTTGAGCACTCACTCCACTCTTACTTACCTGTATAGCTTTTTGATGAAGACATTGTGCAGCTCTCGCTTGGTATGGTTTACCTGGTAATTTTAAAATGATTAAGAGAGTGGTCAGACAAATGTAGCACCATTTGGAAAGAAAAAACAGCTACAAGAAGACCAAAAAGAGCACAGGACAGCTGAATCTTCAATGTTTAATATAATAAAATGCAACACTAGAATTGTAAGGTATTGACACTGTATTGTGTTATGTGACATTGAAATTTTCACAATGATTGCTAGGCTCACATTAGATATTTTTCTTTTTGTTCAAGAAACAAATGGAAATTTAGCAAATGCAACAAGTCCGAGCAGATTTAACCAACTGATAACCGCTTATATAACACATTATCACCATCAAAAAGTAAAAACATCGTCAATGTTGGACAAAATTAACTATTTGATTAATTTACAAGATGGTAGGACAAGGATAGGCTTGACCAGATACCCAGGCTGAGGGGTGTCACATCATCTAGAGGTCATTTATTGGGGTTCGTCTCGAATACTAGTTAACCTTAATCTGACCTATTTAGTTCATCGTATGAGATGACATGACCCTAACAAATTGTGCTTTGGTCAACATTAATAACCTGTATACCAAAAACCAAGGCTAGGACCCACTTCTAATTCAATCAAACTCCCAACTCATAGTAGTCGACAAAGTAAGAATCCATTCAGTGTAAAGCCAAGTAAAAAAAACCTTCTAATTCTTAGTTTTTGTACAATACCAAAACAAAAAAATAAAAAAATTGAAATACTTTAATATTTTCTTCACTATACCAATTAAATGCTTATCAAGAAAAAAATGTACCAATTAATTTGTCATGTCAAAAGCAGGTTATTTATGGTAGACACTAACTTGACCCATTTGTTATTCACGTTATTGAGCCATGTTTTTGTTTTTGTTTTTGTAAAGTAATATTAACCCTAACCCATTAACTTTGTGTCTGGTTGTTATCGTGTCATGTTAAAAATTACCAACCCCTATGTTATTTAACATTTTCCCTCACAATAGATTTACAATCATGAAACTGTTTACAGTTTGGCCAAGTTTCTTTCCCATGAATAAGTATATCAATTCTTTCCTTGGCTACTCAACTTTCAATCCAATACACGTCAAATTCATCTTCTCACCTACTGCAATAGCAGATTCAGAGTTCATTCGGTTGATAGAACTCAGGCAATCCGCATAACTATTTAACCACTATTACTCTGGGAAGTGGGAACTGGTACAGGTCAGTTGTGGAACCCAAAGGGAGAAGAAATGAACTGAAAAATAAAGAAATAGGAGGCAAGTCCATAAACGTATAGCCATTACCAGGAAGTGCATAATTGCTTTAGGTACAGAATCCTCAATGTTCTTTCTAACAATGTCATAATATGACCTTAACAGAAGCTTTGTGACAGCAATTTCAATAGCCTCCTGATCTGAATGTGTTTCTGAAGGCCTCAAGACGCTTGGGGGCTTTAATGAAAATCAAACAGAAACTTATTAGAATAAGATAATCAGTTCCGAATGAGCTTTCAATAGTTAAATCAGCTGGACTCCGGAAAAAGAGCTCATGCACATACCTCTCTTAAATGGATCATAGACAATGTGTGCTCCATGCTCTGAACAGGTTCACTAAATAGCTTGCTCGTTGGATTCTCTTTGGCAGATATTCGATTGTCAGACCCTCCGAAAATTGATGAAATCCCCCAAGACGAACCAGTAGTGGTTCCTGATTAACCAAAGACCATTGCAAAATTAAGGTATTTCATGATTATCATGCAGTACATCATGCCTTATGAGATCCTTGGTCAAGAAAAAAAGAATGTATGTAACAAAAAAAGTAAAATAGTTTTAAAAGTTCTGGTACTTGACTTCCTACTTGCATATTGTGACCGAGTATATAATAATTAGCAGAATTCACGTACCAATTCAAATGAGTAGACATGACAAAAAATTCTACATACACGTACTAATATATGGATTATCTATGCGCTTACCAGATGATGTGGTTTTCTCGATGTCTGCAACAGGCCGAACTCCCTACCCAGTCAGAAGTCAAAATAATGAGAATAATTAGATAATGAGAATAGTGATGACATCAGTATCCTCTAAACCCTCAGTAAGTGTTATCAACTTAGCAAGAGGTACAGTATTAACACAAGCTGTTTGACTGTGCCTGTTTTATTTTGATGAATTTGCATTATACACATACCCAGCTCACAAAAAAGGACTTGGGCCCTGCACCTTCATGAGTGGCAGGAGATACCATCATACCATTCGAGGTAACATCTAGTGTTAATGGAAGACTCCCTCAAATAATGTGAGACACAAAAAACAGCCCTACCTGCTCAGGAACAATTCCATTCACAGGTCTGGCAAGAAAAGCACGAGATCTAAGACTTCTTTCAGATGTAGGTGCTTTTTCTGGATCTAATGAATCCTGAATAGCAAAAAGAATATCAAGAAATTAGGAAGAAGGGGGGAGAGCTTTAAAAAGGTCAGTAGAGATCCAAAACATTGGTTGTGACAGAAGTATTAATTTACCTTCTGCCTAGGAATGGGTGCAGCTACCCTAAAGGACTTCACCTGTTGCAAGGACATCTCCAAAGCTTTACTCCCACCAATAAAATTTGTGTGTGAAGTATTTATGTAATCCATCTGCATGACACATCTACGTAAATTGCAGCAATCTAAAGATCATTGGGAGAACGAATAATTTTGATAAAATAAGCAACAATCTATTGCCCAATTCATGAATGTCGAAAGGGTTTTATATCAAACACAAACTCCGGAAAAAAAATTGGAAGTTCCTGCAAACTAACCAGAATTAGACCAATATCACATTTTTTTTGGCATATATAAATAAGATACAATACCCCAAAAAAGGGACTCTGGAATTCAGAAAAATAAGGCACATTTGAATCAACTTCAATTTCTGATAACCTTATTCCCCAGAAAAGGAAAGGGGACCAAGTTAAAAACAAAACGAAAGTAAGTAACATACAAAAAGGCACCATCATCATCATCCATGAACACAGGAGTTACAAAATGGCGAGGCAAGGAAGAAAACTGTACATAAGATCCTAGAGGGACAGTGCTCAGCCAACCAAACCTTGAGCTATTTAAGTTCTAAAACAGAACAAGGGCAAGGATTTTAATTCCACATAAATAAAATTGCTAATCGCTAGCCTGGTTTGAAGAGAACCACTGACAAATTTAAATGTCTATAGAAATAATTTCAGGACTGACAAACGGGCAAAAAAAGAGAGAAAAATATGTGACAATAGGGAATCCTATGGGTGAACCCAGTGTTATTAAACGCGCATCTAGGCGAGAAGCGAGCTCACACGAGCCTGGAGTGTCCTAGGTGAAACAAGCTTTGCCAACACAAAGATTAAGTGTTCAAGTGAAAAGCAAATTGGATCAAAAATTGATATCGCCATAACAGCTAATTGTCATTTGATCCATATATACATCTAACCTTAAAATTTCTACAAAAAAATTGATTGCGAATTAAGGGTCATGAGGGTTGCAATCCTAGACTTTTCTTGTTCTCCTCCTCATCCTCCAGTTCTTTTTCTTCTTCTTCTTCTTCTTCTCCTCCTCACAAATGATTTACTGCTACTAGAAAAACGATCTACGACCTAGAGGCTAGGAATCAATAGACCAACTTTGTCTTTTTCTTTTCCTCCAAAAAATGAATCTCTACACAGACCAGGTGTGTGTACTTCTTGTCCTCTTCTACCTCTTCTCTTCCTCCTCCTCCTCCTCCTCCTCCTCCTCCTCCTCTTCTAAGATGGAGCTAGAGCTCTGCTTTTGCTCGCTCCATGATTCACTGTTAGTAGAGATCTACTTTTACTCCAAAAATTTAGTTTTTTTGCTTCAAATGTTATGATTTGGTATATTTTTGACATTTTTTTAAAATTTAAATGTTAAAGTTTTGGTTGACATTAAGATTTGACATATTATTGATGCTTGTTTCAATTTAAAATATTTATGCTTTAGATTGCATTTGAATATTTAATACTTGGGAAGTTGGAACTTGATACTTAGTAGTAACAACACTAAAATATTTGTTTGATTTCTATATTGTTCACCTCACTTCGACGAAACTTTCGGTTCGCTTCTTGCCTAGGCCAGAGGAGATCAGAGCACTTTGGTCTGCTTTATGCCTTAAATAACACTCGGTAAAAACAAAACAAAACATTTATAAAAGACTATTAATACTTGCAATACAAAAGATGCAAGTAAAGTTTCTTTTGTGGGTGGGGGACTTGAAGACAAAAAGGACATAGATAGTTTGTCTCTTCTATGTTATTCGACTCGACTAACACCGACACGATACCAATACCCAGTATGAGAAAAACACGAGTTCAACATGTATCGGTTTTGAATTGATACAACGCAGCAAAACTCGACTTCATCTCCTTTAAATTGGTCGATTTGACTCTGAGTCAGACCGATTCGCATAGAATCATTCACCCCTCAGAAGAAAAAGCACAAAAAAAAATACAAAATAGATGAAGTACAACAAACTCAACTTACAAGCAAAACCCAAACAAAAATCAATTGAAAAATAGGCCATTTTTGTCATTATACAAGTAGAATAAAGAATAGAAAAAATTTGTAACACAAACCCATAAACCTGTAAATCAGAGATCTCCCTCTTCTTTTTCTTCTTTGAAGAGACTCGAGCATCGTCGATCGTAGATCAAAGTTTTTACAAACCCTAGAAGTAGATTAAAACATCGTCGATCGTCGTTGGAATCATCATCTCCGCCTTCCTCTGTCTCTCAAATTTTGCCCTTTCTTCGTGTTTCGTTCCCTCGACTCTAGCTCTCCCTATCCTTTCCCTTCCCCCCCCCCAACCCACCCACCCCACCTCTGACTACAACCCAAAAAGAGACTGGCCACTTTTACTATATTTCATGTAGCGATTTTGATTTTTTTTTCCTTTTAATTTATGTTTTTTGTTGTTATTTACTTTACAATTTCAGTAGACTTAAATTCATTAAAATATTACCTTTATTAAGGTTTTTTTTTTATATGTAATTGAAGATATAACAATTACACATACATACTGATATATTAAGTGGCCAAAATATTGATTTTCTCATAAATTTATAAAACTAAGATTAAATTGAATTATATTTATATTCATATAATATTTATATTTATTAGTGTTCGTATCTAATGTATTTATCAAATTTATAATTTATTGATATATCTTTATTGTTGCTATTTTTATTATAAAAAATTTCAAAATTACTAGTATGCTCAAAATAGTAATAATAACATTACCGGTAGTGCCCTCACAATTCCTTTTCACTATCTTTAATGTGTTATATAATGTATTTCTAGGATATAATATATGGATGATGATACTTATATTTTTTTAAAAAAAATTCATGATTTTTTCAAAAAATTTTGGGACTTTCTATCTAACGTTTTGAGCATATCGGCCAATGTATCTCTGTACCCTCCTAGTCAATAACTAATACCGCAACCTTGAACCATGGTTGCATCATCATCATGTTCATCCATATTGCAGTAAGATAAAATCCAATATTATCACTCAAGGGTGCGTGAAGCAGCACACCGACTTATTTATCAAGGCTTTGTGACAATACAGCAGGAAGAAAATCTAGTTTCAGCATACCTCCATTTCAATAATATGCCCAATCATCGTCTCTGATGGTTGAAGGCCCTCCCGCAAAAAGTTCCCTATAACCTCATCCATGCGTCTTCTTAGAACAGGAAACCGCTGCATTTCATTGACCATACAGTGATGGCTCATCTGAATATAAAAGAGAGAGAATTCAGTTAATCCCTAAATGCAGCGAATAATGCTCCCCAACTTTATTAACTCATCATAAATCTACCACACTGAAGGCTTTTTTATTAACTCGTCATAAATAGATATTATAGCACATTGGCCACACAAAAAAAAAAATAGCTGCTAGGAATTTCCCAACCTTTATTAACTCATCATAAATAAATCTGGCACACTGCAGACTTGGATCTAATAATCGAGCTATTTGTCTTCGAACTAGAACTTCAAATGGCACCTACATATTTCAAGATTAAATAAAATAAAACAAGTTTAAAGCAGAAATGGAAAATAAAAAAAAATACAAGAATACATAGGAACATTGTGGAAAACACGGGAATTTTTTCAAATAGGACAGTATGTCCCAAAAGCAAGGAGAAATCTAGCTCAGTAAGACCTACTTCTGGAACAAATAGCGCAGATTTAGGACCAGTTGCATTCTGAATGGCTGTTCGGATGTCATCATCAGTTAAACCCTCACATGGGTCCACATCCTGCAAGAGATCAAATCTCATCAGAGTTGAGGAATTGAGCATCTTCAAGCTCAGCACCATCTCCATTTAGCCATACAATATTATAGCAATCATAAGCCCATGGGAAGGCAGAGAGCTCATTTGCAGATAGCTCATTTGCACCACTCAAACAGAACCAAACAGCAGCAAAAAATTTTGGAAGCAAATCGCAAACTTGAGATGTAATGAAGATAACTTCTACTATAGGACAAACAACATCAATAAGAAAATCATTTTCCTTTCACCAATTTACTGCATTGATTGCACCGAAGAGAATAAAAGAGGCAGCCTTTTCAATCTTAAAACCTTTTTTAGTTTGCAACAGTCAAGGTGAGAACGTATATTGCTTGTCTTCTTCCCCTTAGTTTAGAAACCACATGAAAGTAATGAGACAATAAAAAAGGGAAGACCTCCACTGTATAAGTACTGGGGAAAATGATGTACAAAATATAGAATGCCTAAAGTCCAAAGCACTCACATTTTGACTACAATAAGGAATAACAGGAAAAAAAAGCTTCAATCCGGAATTTCAGAAGACGTGTTCAAAGAAAAATTGATCTCAACAATATACCTCCAAACTCTTCACAAATATACTCTGGAAGATATAATGGATTCTTGCTCCACCGGACAACTCAGATGTTGACATCTCTTCATTTTTCCCCTCTATCATTGAAGAGAAAGCTGTTTCCAACAAGGGAAAAAGGGGCCATCTGAAAAGGTCAATCAATCTCTGCAACTCCTAGAGTGCGCTAAGGACACAAAGTAAGCTAAGCACATTACCTTCAGAATATTTCGAAAGTATGTTCAGTAGAAGAGCTCCCTGACCAGCCTATTGTAAACAAAAAGATATAAGTAACATTGCAAAAAAAAAATATTAAGAACAAGAAATCCTGAAAAATCAACAATAATTACCAGCAGAAATGAATTTAAACTCAAATGACCTAGATCATTATATAAGCTGGCTTGACTTTAGAACTGCCTAGTATCCAGTTAATGATGTTGGGCTCTGGATCACCACAGGAATATGAACTAGAACAACATATTATTCTGGACCTTTTTTCATTTTCCTGGATGCATGAGTCAGACAAATGGCCGCAACACTCAGAAAAAGAACTAAATGCCCATGTAAGCATATAGATGCTACACACTGTTCTGGACCTTTTTCTTCACATAATCTTAGATGCATAGGGCACAACACATAACCACATGACCGGAAACTATCGATCCAGCATTTCAGTAATGTTGTTAAGCATAGTACACAGAGAATTTTGACTAGTAAAATGGTTCATGCCTTTGATTCTGTGATTTCTCCAAAGCTAGCATGCTCTTTTGCAACAGAAACCAGTGCAGCACTAAGACGAGACCTCAACCCTGGAAGCACTGACATGATATGCTGCACCAGAATCTGCACAAAACATAACAAGGAGTTAGTTTACAAAACCATCAATGCACTTATAGAAGCACCCGACACAAGATTTCAGATAAGTGTGAAAATTCCAGACTGATCTAAAAGGACAGCAAAAGAACAAAACACATTTGTATGTACATAAAACGACAGAGGAAGCGAGTTTTTTTCCCTTTTTTTTTCTTGTGTGTGAACGTGTTCGTGTTTGTGTACGGTGTTGGAAGATAAGGAGATAATTCCCATATCCCACACTGAACAAAGTAACTGCAAGTGCACAAGCATCTACTTTTAAACAATAGGAAATTTTGCATGAACAAACATCACAATCAGTCTCACGCTTTCGTACTTGGTTCAACTTCTTTGCCAACTGGGGTACACCACAACGATCAGCAAGATCATTGTACACCTACATTAACAGCAGAAGATATATGATCAGCTATATAAACAACACTAGTTACATGCGTAAACCACAAGTTGAAGACAGTGTGGTCTTACTGGACGACTGCGAAAGAAATTCTCCTCAGCAACAAGTGCATCCCTAATGGTCCGGTTATTCGCAATATCCTGTTTAAGAATGATACCAACCAACCAGGTCAGAAGCCTACGAACATAGAAAAACTTAAGAGAGCTATTAATCATAGATATAACTTTCGGAATTCAGTTCATAAAATAATCTGAATATCTACAAATTGTTCAGATCACAATTATACTACCACTTGCGGTTCTGGGCGTGCAACAGTGCAGAGTTTTATATTAGGTTGCCTACATAATGTTTCCACTTTCCTTTTGTTACTCTAAGCTTATGCAAAACTTCCTGTCTGCACTCTTCTTATTTTTTTACTTTTTGGGTTTCCCGAAAAGACTTGGAAAATGCAACATACTAATCAGCTGTGTGATCTGAACCAATTTATTTTCTAGAAGACTATACAACAAATTTAACAATTCAAATATAAGAAAGACCAAGGAGAACAGAGAACTTGCACTGTTTATCCATTTAAATAGCTGCTTGGAAGACAATAGATACACTTGACAGAGAAAGCGAACAAGGAAAGTGGACACAACGCTATTTATATATTACTTCGATTTTTTAGGAGAAAAAAGTAAGAAGGACAAAGAAAGTAGGATATCAGCATATCACTCGCATAAACAATTACGTTTCAATAGTAATGTAGTTCTTTTAAGAAGTAAGATTCAAGTGTAAAATAAAGACAGAAAGTACAGTGTAAGACAAAAATACATACAACCATGTATAATAAAAAGATTTGTATTTAAAATCGGGGAGGAAAAAATACTTCAGCCTCTTAGCAAAATAATCTACTGTAACATAATAGGAAGTTCTCCCTAATGCTATGAGCTGAAATATTACCTCTTGGCTACGATTCACAACACCTACATAACCGAGTCGAAGGGGAATAACTTTTCCAAGCAGAAAATTGCGGGCATCAGTACCCCTATCCATAATATCCAACTGATGCAACAAAGGAAATAAGTTAAGCCACGTCGACAACTAACAGCTACAAAACAATACAAAGATAACTATATGGATGAGAAATATGTAATCATGACTCATATACATATCATACCTTTGTGATTACACCAATTGTTCGATAACCTGCCAGCAGAAAATATCACATATAAGCTATAAAATTGAGGGAGCAAGCACACCCTACTATGGCTAGTATTCATCTTGTTCAACTGATATTGGAAGCAAAGCCTACCATCTGGATCAGCATTTCCAGCAATTTGAAGAGCATCTGAGTTTGCTAAGTCAGAATTTGCTGGCGTAACAGCTAATATTAAACAGCTTGGTAGTTTAATATATGACATTATCATCGTTCTAATCCGTGCTTCAATATCAGAAGGCTGATCACCAACAGGAACCTTTGTTATACCCGGCAAATCCACCAGGGTAATATCAAGGACGTTCGGTGAAAAAATCTTTAGACGAATCTGTTTGTCTGAAACACCTTTGTTTCCTCCAGCTTCCCTATTTGTCTCAGCCTAAATTCAGATGCAGAAAATTTGGACAAAAAAAGCAGTAGAAGGAATAAGAAATTTGTAGTTAATGCTAAAAGCAATAGAAGGAATAAGAAAACTACTAACAGACTCTAAAATACATCTTCTTCTACTTCTTTCACTTGGGTAATACCAACATTGTATAAACAAATTTGCTACCTTCAATAATCAAATAAGATAATAGACTGCCAAACCTATCATAAAGCTGTAGCCAGGGGTCACGTAGAGGAAGGAGGACAGAACTAATATTTCATGACCATAAAGAGTCTCTTCTGTGATCACTGGCACTGCCAAAGGATGATTAAATTGGAAACAGGCGCAAGGAGTATAATTTTTCATGGTTACGAACAACTTTAATGTTACCCAAATGGAGGTGTCCATTGGCATGAGACTGATAGCATCATTAAAAGCCCCCTGTGCAGAAATGAAATTCACCCCCTTCAGTTTCTTCCCAGGAAAAAAATTCATGATTACCAATCGCTGCCAGCTATTAAGGATGGTTCTCATCAAGCTAGGGGAAATGAAGAGATGATGGGAAGTAGCAACAGGAACCAGAAGGAAAGGTCTATAGCAAATTAGTTGACAAACAGCGAATTGCAAACATTTCATTAGTCTCCGGTATTCCCATCGATCATTGAATACATACCCAATTCGTGATTGTACTGTGTGGAATCCAGCAATAATATTACCACCAGAGTCTAAATAGCAAGTGGCAACTGCTTATTACCAGCAGAATCGCACAAGCTTCCAATGGACACAAAAGGTGTACAGTATGTCAGTATCATAACAAAATAGGTCAAAGAGATATTCTTTCATGTGAAATTACAGAATCAGTCATTAAAAATCTAAGTTAAGCAACGAGATGAATATGGTTTCTCTGTGGTTGCTAACTGTAAGATTTAAGTGCTGAATGATTTAATTTATTTTCATTTGGCAAGAAAATTATTCATACCTAAATGAATGGATATATCATATTTATAGTGATACATGTTTAGAGCATGACACAATTAGGAAACACACAATAACATGCATTCTTTCAGTGAATAGTCTAATACATACTAAAGTGTCTTTTCTTATAAGTTTATATATTGAGACATTTATCATGGAAACACAACCCAAGTACATGTAAAGAATACAACAGAGAGCCATCACCGAACCTATATCATGGTTATATCACTAGAAAGAGAGTGTTCCCTCAGAAAAGCACATAGAATGTTTCGATCATGGAAGGATCACAATTAGCATGGTCTAAACTATCATCACAGGGAACATCGTCTCTAAATAAAAATCAAGAAAAGCACAAACTAAATCGAAACTGCAAATATATATATGAATTGAAGAAATGAGATTGAGATAAATTGCAGAAAATATGTATGTGCTTCCCTAAGTGTTGAATGGAGTTTATTCTTTGACTGTCCTAACAAAATAATAATGATGAGTTGGGGACTGCACCACGCCCTTTATTCAATATGTGTACCAATAATATGAAATCCATATATATATATATAGTAGCACGATTATGGAAGTTCTGCACCATAAAGTCCAGTGGGAACTTTTTATGTGAACCGTTAGATCACAATCTAATGGTTACTAATCAAACAAGACTAAAATTTAATGCAATGACTTACCAAGTTTGGCTCTTAACTAAAAAGGAAATTTAATAGCATATTAATTGTAATCATATTTATATTAGGAAAGCATATTTTAGTTTTGAAATTGTATCTTTAAAAAATAATAAAAAATTAACTCCTAATGAATTTTTTCCAAAATTAAACATTTTGAAATGAAGGCTCATCTTCCTGATAAGTCTTCATCCTCGTCATGCCAAAAATCCGAAGTCCAGCAAGAGGCCCTTGAACACACATTTTGGTCAAGGCCTTTACAGCGAAAACGAATTCATGGTTATGCAAAACTTAAAATAGAACTTGTCAATATAATGTGAACATGGAATTAGGTAAATGAAGATGGCCCTTAAGTTCCTTTGATAGAAGTTTATCAGAAGGGATGTGATTTTGTGGGGCTAATTTAGCTCATATGCAATGATCGCATCTATGTATGTAATAGAGTTTTATCCATATGCATTTTGTATGTAGAAGATTTTTCATTTAGAGAATCAACATAGAAAATGATGGTGGTGGTCTTCTCTCCGGGAGAATGATATACATTTGGAGTAGCTCGACTTGGAGGTGATGATCTTAATTTTTTTTTATGTTGATTTTTAAAGATATGATTTCAAAACTAAAATATGCTTTCCCAATAGAAATATGATTACAATTAATATGCCATTACATTTCCTTTTTAGTTAAGAGCCAAACTTGGTAAGTCATTGCATTAAATTTTGGTCTACTTCGATTAGTAACTGTTAGATCGTGATCTAATGATTCACGTAAAAAGTTTGCCCAGTGGTTATGGTGCAGAGCTTCCATGATTGCGTTACTTTATATATATATAATAAGATAGATAGGTTTTTTAATTTATGGGAGTTTCCCCAAATTTTACACACCCAGCACACCCCCCCTAAAATTTCACAAACCCAACCTACACACTCTACAACAGACAACTGTACACACATACACACTCTCCAACACACACACTCATTATACACACATTCCAATTGTACACACACTCCAATACACGCCCAGTGTCATAACTTAGTGTATAGTGACTTTAGTCATGGGATATCGCTACTATATATACATTGATCAATTTCTGCAATTTGAATATGTCAAAATCCCAATTTTAAATCAAATTTAGAAAAGATTATAGCATCAAGTAGTCGAGCTAATAAATCTTTTTTATTTGAAATTGAATATCTTATCTTTTGTAAAACTTTATTTAAGAGTTTGTAATTAATAACAAAACAAGATATTCCCTTTTCTTTTTTAGCATTTTTATTTACATAAAACGTTGCACAACTCCAAGGAGAACCTTTTTTTCAAGTTTTCTCTATTTCTCTCTCTCTCTCTCTTGTGCAGACTTCCTTCCTTCATCATTATAAAGCTTTCCATTCAATATATATATATATATATATATATCACAGGGTGTATTGGACTTTTTGACGTAAAAATGGGTGTGGGTAGTGATGAGAAAGTCCGGTTTTGGAAAGATACATGGATTGGGGATTCTCCTCTTTCTTGGTCTTACCCCCCCTTTTTTAGGTTGTCTAGGTCTCAAGAAGATTCCATTTTAAGAATATACTATGTTTGTTCATCTCATGGGGGGTGAAATTTTAATTTCTTTAGGGCGTTAAATGAAAGAGAAGTTTTGGAGCTTACATCTCTGTTGTCTTTACTTCAACAAGTGTTTCTAATGATTGGGGTGGATTATTGATTCTTCTTGTGTCTTCTCTTGCAAATCTTATTTTCATTCTTTGATTGATGATCATGATTCCCTAATTTTTGAACCCAATCAGATGATTTGGAAGGCTAAAGTACCTTTAAAAGTGTAGATTTTTGCTTGGACAGTGGCTCTTGAAAAGATTAATACTTGTGATGTTTGTTGCAAAAAAGGAAAACAAAGTTTTGTCTTTCTCAACATTGGTGCATTTTGTGTAGGAATACCAATGAAAGTGTGGACTATATTTTTCTCCATTGTCCGGTGACAATGAAATGGTGGTATAGAGCTTTGAGGGAATTTGGATTGAGGTGGGTGTTTCGGATAAGTTGTGCCTCTCTTTAAGAAATAAACTATGGTGTGTTTGGGAAAGAGTGTAGAGGATCCATTTTATGAGAATGTGTAGTTATGGCAATCTTACGGGTAGTATCAGAGAAACAACATAATTTTTGAAGAAAGAGAAGAAAAGATAGAGCTTCTTTGGGATATATCAAAGTTTTTGGCATCCCTAAGGGCCTTAACGGAGGTTTAGTGGTGTTACATGACTATGCGGTTTTTCTATTGAAGTAATTCCTTTTTGGATCATTTTAGGTTGGACTTCTTGTCCACTTGTTTTGTTAAAATATTCAATGAACGAAAGTTTTGTTTCTTATAAAAAAAAACCAAAGATTATGGTTAAAAGACAATGAAAAGTAATCTTCGTATAATATAGCATCACAACTATGTCACAAAGACATTAACATAGATATGCACATTCTGCAAGAGAAGAAATAGATAAGAACAGCCTTAGATTTCAATTGCTACAAAGATCGAGACACTGGCCAAAAGAAAAAATGGGGGATTGAACTTTGAACCTTAGCACATGTTCCCAGTGTCTCCCAAGACGGCACTAAGCCAAGAAGAAAAACTCTTTTCCTTTTTTCTTTTTTTTTTTTTGCCTCCAATTCTGAAAGACAACAGGGTGTGAGCGAAACAAATTATGGCGGCGATAATTTGAGGCAAAATGGGGCATAGTCACAACAACTCTTACACGAAAGGTACTTGTAAATTGTAACAGAAGTACTGTGATTAAATTAAAAATGGTGGAGACTGGCAAAAAAAATCACTCTTCATTCATTGAGACTGTAGGAGAAAGGGAAGTTGGCATGAATAAAGGATGCAAATTTGATGGACTGACAATTCCAGAACAGTAGCAACAGTGCTAAGAATGGTGATGATGATGGAGTTGGTATTGAAGTTAGTCGCTGGAAGCGGAAATGCTATTGATGTAGTAAACTGTCAAAATAGACAAAAGAGGCAAATACAATTGGCAGGCATATCAAAGTCCTCTTAGCTAGGGCAGCAAGGGCACTGTGGGGTTTGCCATGGTGCTAGGAACAGTTGCCGTTTTCATAATAGCAGCTACAAGCAGCCTGATTTTTAGAAAATAATGCATTGTTTTCATAAAATAAAAGCAGCCACTTAACTCCTGCTATAGAGATGATTATATCACCAGGAAATTGGATAATCATTAATGTGCTTGTGCTTGTGCTTGTGCTTGTGCTTGCACTGTTGATAAAAAATGTTACACCTACTGAAAATTGGATTGAAACGAGCATCATTTCAATCTGTAGACACCATTTCCAAGAGTAAGCTGGACCTACTATCCTTGTTCACCAAAATTCAATATTTTCATGAACACAACTTTATGACCTCAGAGGATGAGCCTTGGCAGGGGTAAGGTTGCTCTAGTTCAAGTCACGGTATTATAATACCTCTTCATATATCTCACCAAATTACAATGGAGTGGGATTGCCGTATAATGCGCACCCTTTTTTAACTTTCTGACCACACAATTTCTAAAAACAAGCAGCACGTGGAGCCAATAGCTTTCCAATGATCCTTTTTCAATGGACACCCAAAATAGGACGAGTTTAATGTATGAAATTTCTGTGGATTCCATGGAAGTGACGAAAAACACCATCTCACCACTTAGTTGCCAATTTATATGCTAAACACAATGTCATTCCTGTCTCCAAAAAACTAAAAGCACAACTCTACTACGCCAAACAATACTGTTACCCTCCCTCAGGTAAACACCACTGCTTTCTATCTTTCAATTAAAAAATAAACCTAAAAATTCTAGACTACGAACAAGACTTTATCTCAATTTCATAAGAAACCAATACAATAATTATAAAAACAACGTACAAATCAAAAAATACCTGAATTTCCCTCCGAATATCACTGAAATCAGAAAACCTCTTTCCCGGAAGATGCAAGAACTCTCCATACTCCTCCTCAGCCCCATCTGCCTTTCTCTTCGTCTGGAGGAGCTGCAAAACTAAGGGCCTCCTAGTACAAATATCCGAACCCCTCGGCAAAAAGTCACGGCCAACCAAAGCCTCCAAAACGCTCGATTTGCCGCTGCTTTGGCTCCCGACGACGGCCACCTGAGGTAGCTCGAGCGTCGACTGGCTTCCGATCTGTGCGAAGATGTCCTGCAGCCTGTTCGCCATTGGGATCACCAAGTGACCCAACGGTGCTGCATTCGAAGTCGAAGATTCTTGTACTGGTTCTTCGGCCATTATTGAAGATTGAAATCGATATGTAACGACAATAAGTATATATATGTATATGTGTATCAGTGCATATATATATATAGAGAGAGAGAGAGAGGGTTGAGTTGCAGAGATCGGTGGGAGGTGAAACCCTACAGGGGTCTGGAGTTTGAGACTTGTGAGGTAGAGGAGAGAAGAGAGAGAATTTTTTTTTCTTTTTTTTTGGTAGAGAGAGAAAACAGAAGTAGGGCGTTTCTTCTCGTACTGCCCAAGCCAAACAATTAGATTTTGATTCGTGTGGGTCTGTCAATAAATCTGTTAAATCATATTTAATAGATCTAAATTTTGATATACTAATATTTGATTTGATTATATTTTAATTATATTATAAATTTATGATAAAATTAAGTTATTGTTTAACAAAAAAAAAAAAATCAGTTATACTTTTTCCAATTTATTATATTTTTAATAACACTCCCTCTATTATTTAAAATATTGCCGACATTTTTTTAAGTTTATATTTAAACTTCATTAGCACTCCTCTCATTGAATCACCATTTTTAACAAAAAAAGATATTCATCTAAAATACAAAAATAATCACTACGTAAACCCCAAACAATTTTTCTACATACAAATTTTATTAAATTTGAGCCTTTAAAATTTATTTTTTTATATATTAAAATTTGAACTGTTTAAAATTCATTTTTTTTACATATTAAAATTTGAGTCGGTTAAAATTTTATTCAAGTTGATTAAATTTTTTTTTACGTATTAAAATTCGAACCTATTAAAATTCTTTTTTTTTTACATATTAAAATTCGAGTTGATTTAAACTCAACCTGAGCTATTAGCGTCGATTAAAATTCAATTCGAATCGATTAAACTTTATATTTTTTTATTTACTAAAATTCATGTCAATTAAAATTCGATTCAAGTTTATATTTTCTTGCATATTAAAATTTGGGCAAATTAAAAATAAATTTTAATCAGTCGAAATTTTAAAAAGTAAAAAATTCATAAAATAGAGGGGATCTCATTGAAAATATACCTATTTAGAGGGGATATAAATGAAATTTTTCTTAAAATATAGCAATATAGTAAAATTATATTATAGTTAATGTCATTAATCTAACAGACTGTGTTAGTGAAAATTCAAACATTAAATGGATGTCTTTAAAAATATGATAAAATAGAAAGAGTGTGACTAAAATTTTCTCTTTTATTTATTTATGAGTTTAAGTCTAATTTTTGAAGTAGTCCGAGAAATTGAAGTTGCCAAGTTTGTTAATGAAATTTTGAATTGTAAGTCTTGATTAATTACTGAATTTGGCGTATTTGCATACAGTCTGCTCCACACTTGGTATAAAGGTTATATCACGTTAATATTATGTAACCCTCTATTCCAATGGTATGTGTAGAAGCAAACAATTAGTGATACCTCTACACGTGAATTTGTGATATGATTTCTGGGAGAGAAGTTTGAACGATCTCTTAAACTCTTGCCTACAAAATGAATAAATTGTCCAAGATCGAAGTGCTTTGATCGAAGACACTTTGATGCTTAAGTCAATAATAGAACAAAAAGAATTGCACTAAAACCAAGAGAGTTCAGTGTACCTTTCTTCTTGGCTCCTTTTGCTTTTTATAGGTGATCATCCCTTTAAGGTTTCTGTGATTCTTGATTCAAAGTGGCACACCTTCCTTAGATTCAGTCATTCAGTTTAGGAAGTTGTTGATATTTCTCCATTATTTTCTCCTGATATCTTTAATTTCTCTAATTCATTTATTTGATTGCCTAAAGTATAGGCGAATCTTTATCTTTCTGTTTATCATTTGAAATAGCTCGGTCAAATCGAACGCCAAGCATACTTCACATTTGTCGAACAAATTAAGGGGCTTGGTTTGGTACAAATGGATCTCTTCAATTATATTGTCGAACACTTTAACGGACTCGGTTTGGTACAAGCCAAGCTCTTTCTTTGCTTAGCTGGATAGACTGATGAGTTCAATCATCAAGAGAACCTAACTCTTTCTTTGTTTGTCAAATGAACTGATCAGTCTGGCTCGGTCCTCAAGACTAGATGAATATCCTCGTCACATGACTGGTCATGTCAAGCTTACGTGAGCTTATATAATGTTGTAACACGTGCCATCATGAAGGCTAACCCTTTTATTTGCCCCTAGAAAAACGTCTGATAGACATTTTTTGTCTGTCAACCGTTTTTTCAGCTTTTCGTTATCATTACTTATACTTCGTAACTTCTCCATTTCCTTTGGCGGTACATTCAGGGTATTTAAATATTGCCTTTTAAAATTCCTTTCCTTCATAAATCGCCTCTCTTTGAATTTTATTCACTTCGCTATTTTCTGCTTTCAGACTCCTGTCCTCTCTCTGTTTTGCTTCTCTATGCTTCGTCTTCTCCAAGTCTGTTTTATTTTTTTAGCTCCAATGGCCCCTCCCACTCTTTCAGAGGTTTCTGCCTTCAAAGTCAAATATAATATTACAAATGACGTAGAAGTAAGGGTCGCTAGAAAAGACGAACCCTTAATAGGCACGAGGGAATCAATCCTCATCCCTATTCGAGCTTTCACCGAGGGAGGCGTGCGGTTCCCTCTTGATCCTCTTCTGATATGGGTGCTTTCTGCTGCTAAGCTCTGCCCCCTTCAGTGCTGTCTGAACTTTTTCAGGATCGTCATGGGGGTAGCTTCCTTGAACAAGATTCTGAACTTGAGCCTTAGGTTGTGGGAGACTCTATACTGCTACATTATTAAAGCAGCAGGGGACAGTTTCTATCTATCTATGAGGAAAAAGGATCGTTACTTAGTCACCCACCTCCCAAATTCCAAGAAAGGCCATGAGAATGACATAGTGTTTGTTTCTGAGAATTGGAAGTATGTCACTAGTGCTATTCCTTCATATCGTTGTCCCTATGAAGAGGGTATCTCTTGTTTTAACTTGCTTTTGTTTTATATTTTTCTGAGGGTTTTCTTCTGCACAGGCGAAACTGTCAAAGGTAAAATTCTTAAGTCTTCTGTTAAGTTGGATTAACTTCAGAAGGTTTGGGACTTCAATGAGTTGTTGTTCTGCCGAGCTGCACATACTCTGCTCGGATACAGTCCATCCTACTCTTATTTTATTGTCATGCCGAACCGACCCAATACAACATTTACGGAAGATCGAGAGGCCATCCAGGCAGCTCGGGAAAAAAGAGAACTGCACTGGCTGCTTCTGGTCATAAAACGATAAAGAATTTTTTGGATTTTCTGTCAACAGTTGAGCCGACCCTTCCTTCTGAACAAATGGTAACAACTTATATGCCCCCGATTATCATCGAAGAAGAGTCTACCACCGAGGTTCTTGCCGAGGATGTTCCCCCAGTCAATACTGATATCCCAAGCAATGACCAGGCGAATGTGGTTTCGAACAATGAAACTTCAATTCTGGTTGACCTGAATCCCCTTCCTTCTGTCCAGACCCCTCCACTTGAAGAAGATTCCATTTTCGAGCTCGCTGAAGGCCCAGCCCCGAAGAGACGGAATTGGCTGAGGATGAAATGACTCTCTCCCCCGATTGGCAACCCCTCCTTTCCAACTTGTACTAAGGGCGAAAAAAAAGAGATCACTACAAAGGACTCTGTTATCGAGGACTTCAACATAGCAGTTGGAATTGCTAGGGGGTAATCCTGCCTCGGGACCTGGCAATAAACGAGGCGCTTAGCGACGATAAAGTGTCTCGTCAAGCAATTCAACACATGGTTTTGGTAAGTCTTCCTTCAAGCTTTTTGTTACATCTTTCAAAATTTTTCTAAGTCTTTTCATTCTCTGTGCTCTCAAGGGTCTTCAAAAAGTTCATGAGGTCGGAGCTCGGATTGCATATAAAGATAAAGCAATGAAGGACACGATCCATGCCTGAGCTTCAGCCCCTGCAAAGAAATAGAGTGTTGATGAAGAATATGCCAAATTGTGTGAAGAAGTGAAGATTTTACAGGCTAAAAATCAAAGCCTGTCAAATGAGAACCAAAAGCTTCTTTCTGAAAATGTAAAGTTAAAGGAATCCGAGCACGAAACTAATGTTGAGCTCTCTCAATCCCAGCTTGATTATTTCACACTTCTCAAAGAATTTGATCAATACAAAGCGATGCCTGAAAGAGAAGGTGGACGCTGCTTATAATGAGGGGGTTGACAAAATCGAGGCCGATCTTGCTCTGCAAATGCCTAAGCTTAAAGAGGCACTCTTCAGCAAGGATTGTCAGGCTACTTTGATCGCTGCCGAAATTAACCCTTCTTCAGAACTCTTCTCCAGGCACACTTTTCTGAGATCTTCCCAGCCTCTTTCTACCTGATCAACACTTAGAAAAAATTTTGTAACCCATTACTCTTCTGAATTCACAGAACTTTTTGTACTCTCCAACAGTTTGAATGAAAAATCACAACTTTTCAGTTCTACAATTTGTTTTGATGATTGTTTAGATAAAATTTTTATAATCTTAGCAAAAATTTTAAGGCTCATGAAGTTATGGCCTTTGCCCGACCATTCTTCAAAAGAGCTCGGTTCCAAGGTGAGAACCTCTACACTTGGTCAGAACTTTAATCTCTTGAGGTTGTGGCAATTGTTCGGCCTTCCTCCAAGAGCTCGGTTCCTCGGTGAGAACCTTTTTAAACTTAGAAAAAATTTAAAAATCTCTTTGAAATCTTGGCACTTTACTCGGCCCTTTTTCAAAGAGTTCGGTTCCTCAACAGGAACTTTTTTATACTTACAAAAAATTTAAAGTCTCTTTGAAGTCTCGGCCTTGCTCGACCCTCTTTCAAAGAGTTCGCTTCCTAAACTGGAACCTTTTTTTGTACTTGTAGTTTCAAGCCTCTTTGAAGTTTTAACCCTTGCTCGACCTTTTTCAAAGAGTTCGATTCCTCATTAGAGTTACTCAAAAGTCTCATTGAGATCTAAGAGTGTTTCTACTCCGCACCGACCCGCCAATCCGATTGGACTCAAACTCATCCCTAGTCAGCTTACATCGTCATGCCTAGCTGAGGGCATAGATTTGATCAGGTGGCTGCACCTAATTTAAGCTTTTGACTTCTATCAGGTTTTTTGGCCTCTCTACCTTAGCAGTAGGACGTATATAATGCAAAGAAAGTATTGAAGTAAAAATAATCTTCGAATCTTTATTGATAACTTTTGACTTAATACATTTGCTGCTAGTATATTATCACTTTAAGGGGCACCCTTAAATTTCTGAAGGTACTTCAGAATTCTATCTAAAAAGGTACTTCTTAAAAATAGAACTTTTTGAGGTTCGCAGTGTTCCAGGGGCGCGGTATTGCCTTATGATCCAAGGTTTCGAGTTCATAATACCCGCTGCCCCCAATCTTGACTATTCTATATGAGTCTTCCCAGTTTGCTCCGAGCTTTCCATGGACTGGATTTTTAGTTGACCCTAGTGCATGCCTAAGAACTAGGTTTGCAGGTGTGAAAAACCGGGGGTTTACATTTTTGTTGTAAGCTCAAAAAATTTGATTTCGGTATGAAGTCATTCTTATGGCGACCTACTCTCAATTTTCTTCAGCTAGATCAAGATCGTGTGCCATGATGGCATCGTTGTTGCTGTTTTCGACCAGCTCAGTCTTCAAGGTCGGTAAGGCAATCTCTAAAGGAATAACAGCTTCCATTCCATAAGCTAAGGCGAAAGGAGTCTCTCTAGTCGACGGCCGAGGTGTGGTTCGATACGTCCACTATACATTCTACAGCTCTTCTACCCATCTCCCTTTAGCATTCTCGAGCCTTTTCTTGATTCCATCCAAGATTTTTTTATTAGTGATCTCAGCTTGTCCATTGCTTTGAGGGTAAGCCGGGGTGGAATAGTGGTTCTGGATGTTCGTATTGCTGACAAAAAGTTTTGCAAGGACCACTATCAAACTGTGTGCCATTGTCAGAAACAAGAGTGTGTGGGATGCCGAACCTAGTAATGATGTTTCTCCAAATGAACTTTCTTGTGTTAGTATCTCTGATGTTAGCCAACACCTCAGCTTCAACCCATTTTGTGAAATAATTCGTGGCCACTAGAAGGTACTTCTTGTTGCCCGGGGCCCGAGGTAAAGGTCCCACAATGTTTAATCCCCACTGTGCAAATGACCATGGACTCGCCAAGAGAAGCAATTTGTTGGATGGCTTCCTCGGGATTGGTGAAAATTTCTGACACTTCTCACATCGCCTAACAAACTGCTAAGCATCCTGCTGCATGTATGGCCGCTAAAAACCTTGAGAAATGGCTCGATGAGCTAGAGACCTTCCCCCTGTATGATCTCTGCAACATCATTCGTATATTTCGGATAGAAAGTTGGCAACTATTGTCGGGTGCACACATTTCAGATATGGACCTCCAAATGAGCGTTGATATAATTCATTCTTTGGGGACAGCCAAAACCTAGCAGCTTTCAGGTGCAGCTTGTGAGCTTCCTTGCTATCTTCGGGCAAGTCACCATTCTTCAAGAATCCAATTATTAGATCCATCCAGCTCAGCTCAAATTCGTTGCATAAGACTTTAGACCAGGTCGGTAGAATACTGGGCTCGGGTTGGTACTCAATAGTTAGTGATCTTGTCGCGTCCTGCTCAATTGGCGAGGTCGGTGAAGCTAAAGCATCGGCATGTGAATTCTTTGCTCTCCCGACCTGCTGTATTGAATACTCTGGTATTTTGCTCAGTTCTTTCTCGGCCACAGCCTGATATACTATCATTCTTTCATCTTTTGCCGCAAACTCCCCTATTATCTGATTCACCATTAGCTGCGAATCAGAGAATATCTGGAGCTTTAATACTCTGAGCTCTGCTGCCATCCTTACTCCAGCAATCAAAGCTTCGTACTCTCCACATTGTTTGAAGCCTTGAAGCCGAGCTTGATAGCTTTCTCTAAGGTACACCCGTCCAGACTCACATGGGTGATTCCTATACCAACACTTTTATAATTCGAAGAACCATCAATAGAAAGTATCCAGCTGCCACAACAGCCTGGTTCTCTGTTGCAATTAATTTCTTCGTTCTTCTCTGAGCTATCCTTGGACTGAAATTCCGCTACAAAGTCTGCCACAATAGCGATGTGCATACTCTCGCAAGCTTTCGTTACCCTTCTTTTTCAGCGTCAGTAGAGCCCCAACATCCTTTGGCTGTTTACTGCTCGTGATGAATCGAGCTGTGAACTACTTGGCTAACTGAGACCACCCGTTAATCATTCTTTTTGGTAAGCTGCCAAACCATGTCATGGCAGACTCCCCCAGACTGCTAGGGAAGATAGTGTAGAGTAGTGGCTCGTTTCTTTGGCGGATGGTCATAGTTGTCGGAAGTGCCTGATATGTGAGGTTGGGTCAGTTTTTTTGTTGTACAACTTGAAGTTCGGAATGACAAACTTACTCGGGATTCGTGCCTTTTTGACCCAGACAGTGAATGTGGATGATTCCAAACCATCTTCGTACTCTCTTGTTGCTCTTCTGGCTAGGTCCCTTGTCGACCTCTGCTCTGATCTCTTCAAGCAAATGTTGAGCTCTTCGTTGATATACTGCTTCCACGTGTCCTCCTCTTGGATTCGAGGCTTCTGCTGATGGTAACCTTTCTCATCGGCAGTTTTAATCCTGTTAGGCTTCATTCCCTAACTTTCATGCCGATCTTCTTTCGCCAGTTTTTCTCTTCTGGTCACCTCTTTCAACTTGGCTTTTTACTCTTCGTTTTCTTTCATCAGATCTTTCTCTCCTAGCGTAGGGCTTCTTGAACAGCTTGTCATAAGCATCAAGTCGATCCTACAAGAACTAGACCAACTTTGCCAAGGAGTGGTTCTCCACCTTGGCACAGAGGGATTTACTATGATCCATGCTTTGCTGGTTCTGGTTTTTCGAGGGCTTGAAACTTGCAGAGGATACCTCGTCACCTTCATGGGTCCTGGAGGGGCTTCTGGCTGCACGCAACCTTTCGTCGTTGTTAGAAGGAAGAGACGCAGGATCAGAGTTCCCTAGGGTAAAACTGTCTACGGGTGATCCAATTGCGCTTCTGAGCCTTGACATCGTAGCTTTTTGTTTTGAAAGATGAAGATCTTTCCCACAGACGGCACCAAAATGTAGAAGCAAAAAATTGGTGATACCTCTACACGTGAATTTGTGATATGATTTCCGGGAGAGAAGTTTGAACGATCTTCTAATCTCTTGCCTGCAAAACGAACAAACTGCCCAAGATCGAAGTGCTTCGATCGAAGGCACTTCGATGCTTAAGTCAGTAATGGAACAAAAAGAATTGCACTAAGACCAAGAGAGTTCAGCATACCTTTCTTTTTGGCTCCTTTTGCTTTTTATAGGTGGTCATCCCCTTAGGATTTCTGTGATTCTTGATTCAAGGTGGTACACCTTCCTTAGATTCAGTTATTCAATTTAGCAAGTTGCTGATATTTTTTCATTATTTTCTCTTGATATCTTCAATTTCTTTAATTTGTTTATTTGATTGCCTAAATTATAGGCGAATCTTTATCTATCTGTTTATCATTTGAAACAGCTCGGTCATATCTTTCTCCGAGCACACATGACATTTGCCGAACAGATTAAGGGGCTTAGTTTGGTACAAACTGATCTCTTCAATTGCCTTGCTGAACACTTTAATGGACTCGACTTGGTACAAGTCGAGCTCTTTCATTGCTTAGCTGGACAAACTGATGAGTTTGGTCATCAAGAGAACCTAACTCTTTCTTTGTTTTTAAAATGAACTGATCAGTTCGGCTCGGTCCTCAAGACTAGGTGAATATCCTTGTCACATGATTGATCTTGTCAAGCTCACGTGAGCTTATTTAATATTGTAACATGTGTCATCATGAGGGCTAACCCCTTCAATACGTAAACAAATGGGTAAAACACATAGTTCAGGAAATAAGATGAAATAACTTTTTTGTCCAATTCGTAACTAACATTAATCATTGGGGCAGAATAAAACTAATTATTATATAATTAAAGGTAGGTAGTTGGATATATTATGCAATATATTATGCAACAGGTGATTTTGGAAAAAAAAAATTGGTGTCATACATAAAGGGAAATTTTGCCGAAATTTGTATTTTTTGGGTACATCTAACAAAATTGCTTTTTTTTTTTTTTATTGCAGATCATATGGTAGTCATTCACCGATGATGTGTTGGCTACTCTACCTGATTACTGCTTACGTGGGCTGGACTTATGACCTCTGCCTGATGGTCAGCAGCCCAAGCGGCATAGGAGACCACCACCTTGTGGGACATAGTCTTTTTTTAAAAAATTTGTTTGTATTGAATTTGTAAATATTATTTTTGTATATAAAATTTGTTTGTGTTCATAGTTTCATATCATGTTATGTCTTTACTGCCTTTCAGATCATTTTTTAAATACTCTCTAAAGACATGTTTGTTGAATAATAATGTAACATAAATTATTGAAATTTAGATGGACATTACAAACTGGAGTAGTACACCATATTTCCTAGAAACCAAATATAGAAACATAATACATAAACATATTGCAAACACAAGTACAACGACGAAAATGTAAATATTACAACACTTCATCTAACAATTAAAATTAAACTTGTTTTATTTTAGTCTCTTAATTATCAATTTCAAAAAAAAAATAAAATTGGGCTAATCTTCACTTCATTTGACGATTAAAATTAATGGAAAGATTTAATTTAAAAAAAATTTATAATTGATGGATTAAATTAAAAGAATTAAAATTTTACGAATTACATTAAAACCCGAGAAAAAATTTAGGAGTCACTTATGATAATTATCAAAATCAAATGGAGTTATAAGCAAATCACGTGACTTTTTGCAAAGAAGGAGAAAAAAAAGAAGTAGCCCATTTTTAATTTTCAATAAAGTTGGTGGAGTAATGTGTTAAATATTACATGTTGCTTGATTTTTTGGCAAAGAAGGAATTGACTTCCTTTTTGACATGTTAAATATAACTAATGCTAGACTGATCAAATTTTGAGCTCAAATGACATAACAGTTGATTATTTGAAATTTTTATTGGGGTCCAAATGACATGACACCAATCAAAGAAGTCCAATCAACTGCCATGTCATTTGAGCTCTAAATTTGATCCCAAAATTTAATCACTCTAACATTACTCGTTAAATATTACATGTTGGTGGATTGACTGACTTTTTGGCAGCCAGCGAATGAAATAGCTTTGCAGGCAACAAAATAAAGAAGTTAACCGCGCCAGTTAACTGATGTCTTTAAAACAAGGACTGTGCTGAAAAAAAAAAGGCTTAAAAATGTCAAACGGAGTGATGTTTTTAAAATAACATGAATTTGAGAATTATTTTGAAACCAACAATTATTTGGATTTTTTTTTTAAAACCTCCTTTATCACTATATAACCTTTCTTGCTTCTCATAATCATCAAATTCTATTGCTTAGTTTGTTGTATTTGTATCTTTCAGCTGTGGAGGCCGTCCCTAGTCGAACAAGAACACTCTTGTTTCTAGTTATTTTCATGGTCATCACAGCCATACTTCTACTCTCAATGTCAAACTCAACAACAGTGTCTTCGGGGAAAGAAGGTAAAAACCGAAAACAAGAGGAAGACAACGACGACCGTAATCTGGTTCGCTGCCTGAGGCACCTCTTCGGTCCATTGCCTCCACCACCAAAGGATGAAATTGGGCGTACACTTGCAAGTATGGACCATGTACTGTGCAGAGAAACGATTCATGACATTGGTTATGATATTAGGGCATCAGGCAAAATACCACATTATCTTATTGAAGAAGCTTCCACAATTCAAGAACAATGAAACCACCTTGAACACTTTTCTTTCAGAAATTCCCCCCTCCCCCTACCACCACCGAGTAGTAGCTGACCCTCCTACAGTCCTACCACCAAGTAGCTGAGCGTTAAACCTGGTTTTGTTATACATGGGTGCAATTAGCCTCGTGTAATACCAATCTCTCTCTCTATATATATTGGATTAATTGCCTATTGTTATTTATGCATTGCCTTGGATTGATGTGCAGTTATTTTTTTTTTATTTTTCTTTGGATATTATTGTATTCGACCACATCTTTTCATTATATCTTATACACTTCTTTTGCTAGTAAGTTGCCTACAAAGTTTCGTCGAAACCGAAAATTTGGAAACATGTTGCCAGTAAAAACATAGATAGGCTCCTCGAATGATAATTGTTAACTGAAAACCTTTCATTTTTGTAGTTGGTTAACTACATTGGTCATCACAATACTCCTACTCTCAATGTCAAACTCAACAACAACAACGGCATCCGGGAAAGAAGGCAAAACCCGAAAACAAGAGGACGACGGAGACCGTGAGCCATTCATGGTTCGCTGCCTGAGGCGCTGCTTTGGTCCACTGCCTCCACCACCAAAGGATGAAATTGGGCGTACACTTGCAAAGATGGACTCTATACTGTGCAGAGGAAAGATTCGTGGCATTGGCTGTGGTATTAAGGCATCAGGCAAAATACCACATTATCTTGTTGAAGCCTTGAAGGGGCTTCCACAATTCAAGAACAATGAAACGGCCTTGAACACTGTTCTTTCAAAAATTCTCTCCTACTACCACCACCGAGTAGTAGCTGAGCCTCCAACAGTCCTACCACCGAATAGCTGAGCATTAAACATGGGTTTCTTTTGCTAGTAAGTTGCCTACAGAGTTTTGTCGAAACTGAAAAATTGGAAACATGTTTCAGTTTATGATATTAATTGTCCTGCTACAGTGATATTAAGCCTCCTCATTGTAAAAACTTAGGCTCCTTGAATGATAATAGTTAGGTTGCTGGCTTAGTGCAATGAACACATGATAGAAAACAACCACTGGATGACTTTGTTACATATTCTGTTAAAAGTACACACAGATAAGCATATGAATACTTGGATATATAGGCATAAAAAACTGAAGGTTACATCTTGCACTAATAGGCTGCTACATCTTTTCAGATCCAATGTAAGTAAAAATATGTCTCCAGAACTCATTAACTATTCACAAAATAATTATGTTGCATTCAAATTGGAAAACTCGTTTGTTATCTTATGGATTATTGTGCCACAGTTTACACAATCACAAATAGGTCGAGGGCCACAACATTATCCAAATATTTAAGCACACCACAATATATACAGATTCAGCAGTATATAAATTCACCAATGTTAAACATTTGTTTTCTCAAATAAGCTTGACTAGAATAATCACCCATATAGGTATGTTCATCATCTGATTCAAAATGGTTCACCTAAAATAATGCCAACTTTATTATGACAAATCTTCATACCTTGCTCCATGTATCAAATGATCAGCATTTGATATGGAGCTAGAGAACTTGATTGTTAACTGGAAAACCTTTCATTTTGTTGTTGGTTAACTACAGTTGTTGTTGGCAATTAGAAGACCCATGCATACTATATTTTTTCATAAATGAAAAGAGTGTGCTTTCTAAAATTCTTCTAATCAAACAAGCAGCCACTATGCATGTTGAAACTAAAACTGTTCTAATCTTTTATTTAGTCCTGCCATTCCTCTAATCCAATTTGAAAAACCTATATAAGCATAGTATTGCAACAAGGAAGGAAGCACTTGAGCATTTGGTGAGCAAGAAATCCTATTTTTAGGAACAAAAAAGTGATAGAAAGTATATAGAACACCTTTATACACATTGGATAGTGCTGAAACCAGTCCACCATGAATTCTTTTTTCATATTATCCATTTGTCATTCTCTTGTCCTTCATCACTCTAGCCTACACAACCACAACCATCACCACAAAACTAATCCATTGGAAAGCCATTATGCCTTCTTTCCCTAAGATGATATTAGAGGAAGCGTAATTCCAAATGACCCCCCACAATCTTTTTTTGGTTAGTCTGTCAATAGGTGAACCCCCAGTTTCACAACTCCTAGCAATGGACACTGGTAGCCCTCTAACCTGGGTTAACTACAAACCTTGCAGTGGATGTCACCCATCAAGTGCAACAACCTCCCTTTTCGATCCCTTAAAATCAACAACCTACAACCCTTTATCTTGCGATTCAAGTTATTGTGATCTTAGTATAGAAGGCAAATGTGACCTTAGAAAACAATGTGAGTACACTATCAGGTATCTCGTTGAGACGTCAAATGCAGGAGACCTTGCCACCGAGAAGCTCTCATTTGGGACATCTGACGATGGACTGACAAGTATCTCGAGTGTTGTTATTGGTTGCGGCCATAAATTTATAGGAGGCTTACAACTAGATGGGATTCTCAAACTTGGTTTCAGTAAGGTATCCTTGGTTTCCAACATTTCTAAAAAAATTTCTTATTGCACTGGGGATATAACAGATCCCAATTACATCTATAACAAATTGATCTTGGGGGACGGGACACAAATTGAAGGTGATTCAACACCAATGGAAATATATGGTAGCAACTATTATGTAACCCTGGAAACCATAAGTGTAGGAGACAAAGTACTTGCCATGGATAAAAACATTTTCAAAAGAACATCCGACAGAGGTGGAGTAGTTATCGACTCGGGTACAACATATATGCAGCTCAAAAGAGGTGCTTTTGAAGCTCTTAAAGTAGAAGTAGAAAATTATATAAACGGAAAATTAGAGAAATTTTATTACAAAGACTATTTGTGCTACGAAGGAAAAGTGAACCCCGACCTACAAGGGTTCCATATGGTGAAACTTCATCTAGCTGGTGGAGTGGAGGTAGTGTTGGACATAGGGAGCATGTTTCAACAACTGGGCAATGAAATATTTTGCATGGCAGTGGAATTAACCAAGGATGACAATATCATTGGAATGATGGCGCAACAGCATTACAATGTCGCGTATGACCTTACAACAATGAAGATCCATTTCCTGAGGACAGATTATGAGCTTCTAGATAACTGATTATTGTCCTTGCTCTCTTTGTATAAGGGTATTCATTTTGATCGTATTTAATGTTTTTCATGATAAGGTTTGTAACAATTTTCATGGAGTAATAGATACCTTCTTATGACCAGATCAGTTCATATGAAAGTTGGATGTTAGTTGGTCTAAGTTGTACTGAAATAGATGGCACTACAACGAAAATTGGATTAAAAACAGGGCATACGTATTATAGACATTTTGTAGCAGTAATTACCTCGGTCATGAGTTGCACTTTATTCCCAATTATAAAATTTATATGTCGCAAATCATACATTCTTCTAACATAGACAGCAGAAAATTAGAAGTGTATTAGAGTGTTATGTTGGATATATGTTCATATAAATACTGAAGCCAATGTTTACACCCTCCATTAATAGACCTGTACATCTTTTCAGTTTCATGTGTAATTACGAATGCATAACAACCTCATCTGAATGTACAAATTTATTATCTTAATTTTCTGCAGGACAAAAAGAAAATATACATTTACAAAACTTGTTAACTATTCACAAGATGATTATGATGTTACATTGGTAAATATGTTCAAGTAATGTGCACGATAACTATTTTAAAACCATAAAAAACATTTAATCTCAGGTATTATCCTATGGATTATTAAGAAAAACTACACAATCACATATAGGTAGAGGTAGTATATGTCACAACATTATCCAATATTTAAGCCCATATATTGACACATACCAAAATACCAATATATGCAGATTCAAAATGGATAAATTCACCAAAAGTTTATTTTTGTATTTGTCCTATTGCTTTATCTTTGTGGAACAAATCGTTTTCATTGACATGATTGAGTTGGGTAACTCCATGGTCTTAATCTACTTGTTTGTGGAGGATTTTCAAGGGTTTGGATGCGCTCGTAAATGAGTAACACTGGAATTGTGCAATCCTTGCTACAATTTAGGCTCCTTGGTTGGGGCAGGGACATGGGCGGAGGGAGGTAGGGGCCAGGGTGGGCATGTGCCCCCCCTCAATTTTTTTTTTTAATTAGTTAGATATATGTATTATATATTTATACATATATATTATGTGTGCCCCCTCATTTAAATTAGGCCCACATTATTTACTCAAAATAATTAAACAATTAAGTCCATTTAAAATAAAAAAAAATGAACTCACTATTATCTATTCAAACTTATTAAAAAATCAAATATTTGACCTATCACAATCTACTCAAACCTATTAAAAACAAAAACTTTTAGCCCAATATTAAAAACAAAATTTTTGGCCCAACATTAAAAACAAAACTTTTGGTCCACCATCATTAAAAACAAAACTTTTGGCCCACTTGACTAAAACTTATCTTATCATTCCTTTTTTTTTTTCTCTCTCTGTATCACTCACTTCCAGCTGTCCACTGCCCAACCACAAGAAAAAGAGAAGAAACAGAAAAAAGCTCAACACACGAAAAGTTCAGTTCCTTAAATTTTTTTGTTCTTCCTTGCACCAACCTATAAAATTATTTTATACATTATATTTACCCCCTAAATTTTTTAGAAATTTTAATAATGGTTCTAGATTTTTTTTTTTAATAAATTAGTGGACCACTAACCCTCTAAAATAAATATGTTAGTTTTGGATTGAGTCAATGTTTTATTTGTATATTGACAAAAATACAATATTTTTATTTATCTAACACAATGTTCGATACTTTTTAAGAATGATTTTTAGTTTTCATTTACCATTTTTTTTTAGTAATAGTAGTCTATAACCTAATAAAATATGAAAATTAATTTATATTTAATTCATATACAAAAAATTTTAGAGACTTTAAAAAATTTTATATTTTATTGAAATATATAATTAGGTTAAAATGTACTAAAAAAATTATTTTGTATCTTTTTATTAAATTTTGTTTCGACTAAATAAAAATTGAATTTACTATTTCACAATAATTTAGTGTTGATTCTTATTTTTTTTTTTATTCTTGAACTAAATTTTTTGTATTAATTTCGGCTTAATATTTTTTTATACAGTTATATTTTGCCTCTATCATAGATATTCATGGCTCCGCCCCTGGCAATATGCATTTTTTTTTTGAAATTTTTTATGTGAAATGGACTTCATATATCAAAAATAATATAATAAATATAAATATGTTATATAGTGTGATCGGTTAAAAGAAAAAAAATTAGAGTGCATAATTAAAGTGCCCACCCTGAGCAAAATTCCTGGCTCCGACCCTGGGCAGGAATGCTCGGTTTTTAAAGAACTTTCACTGACTTGCAATTGTTTCTAACAAAGGTCAAACATCAAACAATATAAACTAAACTTTACATTGCCCTAAATATGAAATGCAAGCATCGCTAAACATCATCAGGTAGAATACGAGTCTCATTTCCACATTATACAACTTTTAGGTATTGAAAATAGAGAATTTAAGAAATAACAATTTGAAATTAAATTATTTGCACAATAAAAGCAGTATTGCACTGTACCAAGCTGCTAACTGCAAAGATGGAATTCAACCAATCATTAAATTTTGGGTCTATACCACTTATATTGATAGGCTCAAGAAACAAGGGATTTAAGATTTTATAAAAAGAGTTAATCGCAAATTACACTCCGAAAGATCATTTGAATCGATCAAAAATCTCAATTTGTACCTCAAAGAAAGAAATTTGTATAAATGCATGCATAAAACTAACAGCTTTCAATTTGTTCTCTAAAACTAAATGGATAATTATACCTAGAGCCCCTCACATTTAGAATATTACTCCTACACTTCGTGACGTTTGTGCATGTGTAACACATAACCCATTGTCGTTGATACCTGTTAATAAAACCGTTAAAAAATATGATTTCATCCTAATAAAAAATTATAATTTTCATACTACCATTTATTTTGTGGGTCCGTTATATTTTAAAGTTCAAAATCAAGCTTACCATTTGAATGTCCAATATAATACAGGTATTTATATAATATTTTTTATATCCAATGCAATACATCACTTAAACAAATTATTTGAATGTCCAATTGGGAGAATATTTTTAGTCATATTTAGATTCTAAAGGGATGTAGGTGTAATATTTCAATTGTGAAGCATCTAGGTGATTAAGTGACAAGTATGAGGAGGTTTATGTGTAATTTATCCATTTATTTTTAGAATTGTTAATATATATTTCTATATTTGAGGGTATAAATTAAAATTTTTGAACTTTGATAAATTAAAATTCGAACGATTTTTCACCGTGCAATTTGAGATTAAACCTTAAAAAAAATTGGGATCCAGCATCCCAATTTGCTTATAAATATCGCATCAGATGATAGTTTTAAAACCCAGTCCAAACATCAACCAGAAAAGGGACCAGGTGGTTCAGCCGTTTAATTGGTCGGACTGGTAATATAATAAAAAATAATTATAAATATTAATAAATAGGCTAAAAAAATATAAATAATTATAAAAATAATATGCTTAATATATATTACATCAAACAAAACCCCAAAATTATCAATAAAAAAACCCATGCTCAATTAAGCAGTAATTTCATCTCCACCAACTCCCAATCAAACAGATTAAAACCCCAATTTCATCTCCCCTAATTCCCAATTGCATAATTTTTGGAATTGATACTTAAGCAATGCTCTTAATCTGCCGCAAATGCTCTTAATTTTCATATACAACATCAAGTTAGTACATAATTTCATATAGAATATCAAGTTAGTATATAATTTCATAGACAATATCAAGTCAGTATACAATATCAAGGGTGGTGGTTCAGGCTCCGGTTCACCATTCTTGTTCAACGCGGAAGAAACACAGAAGAAAGTGAAACTCAGAGAGCTATAGACTGAGACTGTAGAGAGTCTGGAGAGAGAGATGTACATACCTGATGTGTCTCAGAACTCAGAAGGAAGATCTGCTGTGTCGATTTTGAAGAAAAATCAGAACTCAGAAGGAATATATACCCACAGTCTCGATTTTGAAGGAGGATCAAGGAAGATCGAAGATCTGCGTCCTCGATTGAGTGACTGTCTGACCGGCTGAGGCTGAGTGCATCAGTGCAGCGAGCGCACAGAAAGAAAGAGAGAGAGATGGCCGGCTCAGTCGTTAGTCGTCGCCTCGTCGGAGTCGGAGACGGGAAGCATGAGGCAGTGATAGGCCTTTCTATGGTGTCAAAAGCTATTTTCTATGGTGTCAACTTTGGAGCATTTGATTTAGTCTATTATGCATACGCTACGGAAAAAGTCAAATCCTTTTTCCTATCCTGAGAAATGGCTATGAGCATGTTTCTATAAACTGTAAACATTGAACAAAGGCAAGAAAAAAGATAGGAGAGAAGGAAAAGGTATTATTAAGGTTAATCTAATTTGTCATATACCTTAATCTATAATACACAATATAAATACTCTAACATTTTCTTTGAAACTCATGATACGATAATATTAAACATCCGAAGTTTATTGTAGAGAAAATAAAATGCACGATGACGTGAGATTTCATAAAAAAATATTCTAACTACATAGTAGAAGGAAAGAAGGGGAGAGATATTCTCCTCAACTGAAGATGATGACACGTAAAATAACAATCAATTTCAATATACTTTTGTATGCTCATGAAACATTGAGTTGTGGACAATCTAAATAGCACTAGTATTATCACAATACATAGGAGTAGAAATAGATAACGAAATGTTAAGATTAGCAAGCAGTCAACGCAACTAAACTATTTCTGCTGTGGTGGAAACTATAGCATGATACTTAGTTTCAGCAGAGGATCGAGTCACAATAATTTATTTTTTACTTTTACACAAAATAAGACAATCACCAAGAAAGAGACAGAAACCAATAGCGGACCTTGTGATCT